TTTACTACCTGAAATGATTTAATGGTCACCCACAAATTGTGCAACTGGTTACCTAATATACAGCATGTGACTTTCTCTTCCTTGATTAGATTAAGCAAATCTGAGCCAGGGGCTCAAAATGTGCTTTTCATGAGTGTTCTTATGAACAAAAAGGTACTTTCACTAATATTCACAGAAGGAAAATAAAAGCCTAAGGTCAGGAAATCACTAAAGCATGTGTTTAATTCCTCCTCTCCTTAAGAGAGGAGTTATGCTCACACTTAAGTTGCAATGCTTAACTGTTGTCTGAATGCTTTTCTGAACCAGAACCAACAAAGAGGCAGCCACAGTTCAGTCATCTTTAAACACTAAAAATGTTTTAAAGAGAATTAAGTCTTCTAATTTATTGCAACAACATGCCCTTTTAAAAGTTACTAATTTTGCATTTTTTCTAACCTCCAATATTCAGATAATACTGGCTTTCAGCCCTCTGCCCTTAAATTCTTGTACCCTCATGTGACAGAAACACGCCTAATAGGATAGCCTCCACATGTCCTATTAGACAAAATTTGTGTTTTAAACCTAGATTCAAGAGTAATTGAAGTTAATGGAAAGACTTAATTGTTTTCAATGAAAGTTGGATATAGAACTGATAGTTTAACTCTGGACACTCTCTTTTGAACCTACTCACCAAGGTGCTGATCCAACTCCAGTGAAGTCAATAGAGGGATTTGTGTTGGGATTTGGATAATAACTCTGTTCTTCTTGGAGTCAAATCCCCTTTGTCAATATGCACACGCACAAATACAGAGATATAAATGAAAACAAATGTTTGGCAACTCGTGACAGAAAGTCCAAATCTGTATCTGTGTATTTGGGCCAAACCAAAATTGTTATGCTTGACAAAAACATCATTATGCTGATCTGGTTTTGGTTTTTGCTTACTAGTAATTGTTTGGTAGTATAAATCTAACTTCTCATATTTTATGTTTTTGCATAAATAAATTCTTCTGTCACTGTAGACAGTAAAATGAGAGGGATTTCTATTCAAAACTCTCTGTTCAGACTTGTCATAACTTTGACAAACATAATCCTCTCAGACCAGATTTTTCCATGCTTGGTCTCCATCAAGAGCAATTCTGTTTTTGCCAAGTATGAAGACGTTTGCTTCAGCTCCTTCTTAGTTTCCAAAATACAAAAGGTTTCTCATTTAGGATCGATCCTACACTCAAAACAAAAGGGATGTGGGCTGGATTCCCAGAGGTGCAGCGCTCTCGCAGTTCCCATTGGCTTTAGTGTTTCTAAAATCAGCTTCTGTGTTTTTAAAACAAGAATTCCAAGTGGATGAGGGAATTCTGACTTGGACACAAGGAGCTAAGCGGAGCCTTGGCTAGCAGAGCTGCAGGGAGCAGAGACGTTGCCGATTGCTTCATCTGCCGAGCGTTACGTGCCGCGCACCGGCTGCGCTCCGCTAACAGAGCAGGGCTCCTGGTAGCACACAAGGACAGGAACAAGGTGGGCATCGAGGGGAACACCAAGGCATGGGAAGTCTTCCAAAGCTTTGCCTCAACACAACTGAGGCAGCTTTTTCTGCTGTAAGATAAACAATTTCACAATTTATGCCCATAACAGCTCAGGCCATCTCATAGCCCTAAACAGACCGATTTTAAGACCCAGTGACAAAATAATTGGTTCAGCCCCAGCACCTTTTCCAAAATGATGCATTCTTTCTCAGTTGTGCTACTCCTCCAAATACCAGCTCAGGCTACTCATTGAACACTGAGGCCATCCTGCAGTTGCTTAGCTTGTGTCCTCCAAGACTTTGTATTTCTGTAATCTTTACTGCATGAAGCAAATGTCATCAGATTATCCATCTCACTGTGTTCTGAAGATATTAGATGGCCAACTTTGAAGCACATCCATATCCCCTTATGATGACATATGAGATACCCAAGAAATATATAGATATTGAAAAGTAGTACCTAAACTCTAAAGGTCAGTGAACAAGCACCAAAAAATTCAAGTGAGAATCAAGTAAGAATCCCTCCCTCAAAATAATTTAATAATTCATCAGTAACATAACACAGAAAAATTTCTGGCTATTCACTCTCTGGCTGGTTTAGGCATAAAATACTTACTTCAATAGGTCTATTTGTTGCAGAATGAGAGCTTGGGTTGTTTTTTGTAAATTTTGCCATGTTTGTTTTTAAAAAAAAGCCTGCAGAGTCTGGAAAATCTGTGAAATAATAATTATAAAATATAAAGTTGCAATGAGAATTTGGAACTATGTTAAAGGTATTTGGTAAATGAATACTAAAAGGGACTAAAGAGACTGACAATCAAATCCATGACTTGAGAAAAGAAAAGTCAGAGTCAAGAGAAGGAATTCCACCTCCATGGGGACAGAAGATGGAATAGAATATTTTAGTAGGAAAGGGCCTACAATGATCAACTGAATACATGATAGGTCCAGCTGCAAAAAGGTGATAGTGATTTGAAGCCATCTGCAACTGAAGAGAGAAAATAATCTAGATTATACCAAAATCCTGTAGTTTGAGTAGCTACTTACAATTTTTGGATGATAACTGGGTCCCTAGAAGAGTTCACCAGCCTATGTGGTGTTTATCTAAGCTTTTGCTTGTTTTATAGACCTCACTACTACTTTAATGACATAAAGAAAAAAAAATTAAAAGAAATGAAAAGAAAAACATCCCTCATCAATAAATAGGTTGTGAATTACAGAACAGGAGTAGCTGCTTTCGAAGGCTAGAGTGGCAAATGCACACTTGCTGTAACAGCCCCAGGGGCTGACAGATGCCAAAATGCCTGGATGATCTGTTCATTCATGTCCAGGCAGATACTGACAATGGCTCCTCTCCAAAGGGGAGGCTACATATTGTTCTGACATCCACATCAGATGACTGAAACCCCACCAGGACTTCTGAGCCACATATTTTTTAACCTGAAGATCAGAGAATGATTTTACGGCATTTCTCCAATGCCTGATTGATAAAAGGCAGCAAAAATTGAGAAGAAAGAGGGGATGCCCTTTCAAATACATCTCTAAATTAAGTTACTAAAGTCATGCTCAGCTTTGTCTTTTTCCAGATTGATCACTTATTTCAAAATATACCATTGAGGGGAAAAACAAAAGGAAAGCATTTTTCCAGAAGCAATTTTTCTGGAAAGGACATGTTATCATTGTAAAGGGAATTTACATTTTATATTTCTCAAGTCTTAATTAACTTAATTACCTGCTGTAAAACTCCCTAATATCTACTAAATCAGATAGGTACCTTTAGCCTAACTCCTAATTTAAGTCTGAAAACTCTTTTCTGTACCCACTGTGCATTTCAAAACCAGATATTAGAACTCAATAAATTTCTTGGGGAACCACCAGTGCTCTTTGTATTTAACCTTGTGACCTATGCCTCTGTATGGGCTAAATTACACCCACCTCTGTGGGAAGATTTAAGCCCTGCACCACTGTCTCACAGGACTGGAGGGGCCTGTCTTTAGAAGAATGAAATTAAGCACAGACAATGTTTGAGAAAGTTCAGATTGGCAAACTTGGCAGGACAAAAGGACAAGTCTTCAAACTTGCTTTACTTAGCAAGATTCGGGGGAAATGCGCCGACTGTACATTCTCTACCCTCATTATATTCTCGGAGTTTTGACTTCCTCTGTTGCTCCCTAGCCACAGATAGGTATCTAAACATGGGGAAGGCAGAGTGTTTTCACAGCTGCTAGAACCCTGTTACACCTATGGGCTGCAGGCCACACAGGGGGAGCACAGCCGCTCGACTATTGAATAATAAGATGTTGCTTAAGTCAAAAGGTCTTAATTGTGTTGCTTTACATTCAGTTCTCTACCTAGACAAAAAAAAACCAAAACAACAAAACAAAAAAAAAACCCAAAAAAAATGTGGTTAGCAAAAGGAGAGTAGTTAGATTTCTTTGGGGGAGTCAGAGCAGGAAAGAATGCAATCTTATGAAACTACCAACATTTTGCAGCTCTCTGTCTGTACTTGCATACTTGAGTCTATGCATCTATACAGAGTGTATAAATGGCTCTGCATTTCAGAATGCACCAATGCTTCTGAAAAATCTAAACACCTGTTAGGGCAAAATGGAACTTCAGGAATTATTTTTTGTCACTTCTGAACTATCAGTAAGAAGATGAAGAAGAAAGAGAGGAGTCCAAACTCTGAGACTTCAATTTTTTCCAAATGAAGACATCATCCCTTTCACAACTGAATATTGCACTTAAAACATCTGAATTTCAGTTGAAAAACAAAGTATCTGTATTTGATATAGGGCTCAGTGTATTTTTAGCACATTCAGAATCTCACTTTACTATCTTATGTTGGCTCATTTTGGCCAATATCATTTGTCCAGTGGTCCAAAAGAGCACTTATTGCCCTTTATCTATGGAGGGGAAGATTAGCATCACAAAAATAATCTTGTAATTAGTACTGTTGCCAGTGCCAGATGAAAGACAATGATTCTGAAACACTTAAAAAGCTGTTGCCCAAATCTGCAACTTCTGGAAATTCATGTAGGTCCATTACAATGAATGGAGTTTTGCCAATAAGCCAACTGATGACCTGCCTGTTTAAAAAAAAGAAATCCAGCCTTGATCATTCTTTTATTGTTCTGATTCTTTTGCAGATTTAGAAAATGTAACAAAACTGCTTAAAATAACCCTACCATTTATTATTCCAGGAGCAATGTTTTCTTAATAATACAGTCAAAGTGTGTCTGGAATTTTGAAATGCAATTTATTTTCCCACAACACACCAGGCAATCAAAAAAGTTACATTCCATATCCAGAACAAAAAATCGTGGCTATTACAAAACAAGAAAAAGTAAATCATTAAAAAAAATATTGCTAAGCCTAAAAATCTATAAAATAACACTGACCTTTTTATATACCTCATAAACAGCAGAGAGAAATTCCTGCTTCTGCCAAACACTCCAGTTTGCAACGGTGTTCCAAATTTTCATTAGCACAGCAACCATGCTGCCTGATACCCAGTGGATCAAACTGTTTTCACATTCTTCTTTCTGAAAAAAAGAAAAACAATGAGAAAGGAAAAAGTAACTAAAAACCAACCAGACAGGTTTATTCCATATCAACATGACACCTCTAGATAGTGAAACATCTACAAGTGATGCAGCTAGGGCTGAAATGTGTTCAACCCAGAAGCCCAAGTTATAACTCAGATTTTGGAAAAGGTTGTCTTAGGCATAAACCCTTTCCTTTAAGGTTCTTTAGACCTGGTACCTGTTAGCACATGCATGGATTGGTAAACAAGACCATTTTGAGAATAACTTAAAGAATAAATATGTTTGCAGATGAGTAATTTCAGAAGACTGCAGAGAAACATTTGAAGGTTAAATTTTTATTTTTAATTAGGCTTTTTTTTTTCCTGCTCAGTACAAACACATTTAAAATTTTCTCAATTTCTCCCATGACATGAAAACAGGATACCATAGAAAGCATCTTATAATTTCTTACTATAAAGAGAAATTTATAGGGGATCATAAGGAAGAGATAAAAATACTCACCGTATAAGATTCAAATTAGGATTCTGATTTTACCAATCCCAAAATTCCAGATCTTTTGATCTAGGATTTTCAACCAATAAGCAGATATCCCTTCCAAATATCTACATTCACAGATTTGGAGGTTATGGTAATTACCTGTTTATCTCAGGAGACATTTTGATATGTGAGATGTTCCAGAGCAAGGAAAGTAGGTGGTGGCTGTTCAAGTTTTTCATGCTGTTCATATTGGAATAAAAAAGAATGTTCTAGAACAATTCTTACTAAAACAAAATAGGAATGAGATAGAATTCCCTTATTTCTTTAAGGCAAAAAATTGCAAATCAATCTGAACCAACAACCAAAAAAAAAACCCCAACCAACCAATTAAAAACAACCCAAAATACGGGAAATAGGAATAGAGAAGATGAGGAAAAGAAAAACCTGTTGGTTCAATGTTTTTCCAGTTCTCTTCCTTGTAATATATAGATGGAAAACAAAACTAATTAAGGGGGCTTTGGATTGGTATATGACATTTAGGTGTCACAAAAAAAGTCTATTAAATCCTTACCAAATATTGTTTCAGCTGCTTCAGAGCACACTCTGCAGTCACATAATGTTGAAGGTACCTGATTCCTCATCAGCAATGTTCAACACCTCCTGGGCCTGGGTCCTGTTACAAGAGAAACAGTTTAAAGGAACTGGAAGTGAAAATAATCTTTGTAGCAGATGATGTGGACAACATAAGCTCATTGTTAGAAAATACTGGAAATTAACAAAAGGGAACCAGAACTGCACCTTTATATAAAGCGAGCTAAGAATTATGTCAGAAGACAAAGAATGCCAAATAATGAAAAGAAAAAGGAAAATCAAATTTAATTGAAAAGTGCAGTTTTAAAGAAAATAATTTCATCTATTGGACTAGTAAGAAAAAAGCATTAAATCTATAATAACATATACATTTATTCCAGTCAGAAACATATTTAACAATGACATGTAAGTGAGTAGCGGGATAATTGCTAAGATGTGGCTAAATAGGCAACACTTTATTATTTTAATATTAAATACAATCACGATTTCTTGTTTTCTTAGTTCTTTCTTTCACAAGGGCTGTCATAATCCATCAAGTCCCAGATTTGGAATGTGTCTTTATGTGACTTTATGATTAAATTCCACACTCAAAATTCACAAAGAATAAACCTGATGAAGTGCACGTGCATCTTAATAAGTGAAAGGGACAAATGAATTCATTGTCTATTGAAGCAGTTTTATAATATCTAAACATATGCTGAACAAAGCTGCAAACTATTAAAACAAAACATACAGGCTTTAATTACAATCTAAATCTGCATTATAAAGTAATAAAATGACCCTAAAATAAATGTTATGGAAGTCATGTTGTCCCTACAAATGAACACAGCATGAAAGAGTGTTACAATAAAACACCCTAACATTAACATGTTGTATGTACCAATGTGGCTTCCCACAGAGCTAAATCAACCAGACCTAACTCTTCTCTTCCATAGCTGTGGGCAAAATTCTCCTCTCCCTTAATTTGCCTTTGTTGGTCACATTCATCAGAGTTCCAGGAGCCTGTGTGGGGCAATATGACCCTGCTGGCCCAGCCTCCTCCCCAGGGTCCCTGGAGATCTCCAGTTCTGGGCACAAATCCTATCGGGAGCCAGATGGGGCGATGCAGAGCTAGGGAATAACTCATCTTAACTGCAAAAAGAGTCCCAGCTTAAACGCTAAAATTTGGCATTACCGTGTGGCAGCCAATTACAACAGAGGAGTCATTCTTGAGATTATCCATGTGAAGAACATTATTCATATGACATTTACATATGAGAATTTGGAGGGTCAACCATAACTGTGGGGTTTTTTTTTCCTTCTGGGCAAGCACTGATCTCCAAATGCATGATCTGATATTATTTCCTAAAATAATCTGCTATTTTAGAATACTCGATATGCGATCATGACATTTATGATCTGTTGCAGAGCCTATACTGAAGTCTAGAAGCATTTTAACCACAGTATTTGCTGCCATTTCCTAAATCATCACATCCCACATTGATTCTGACAATACAAGAAAGAATGACAAGGGCACTGAAATAGTTGAATGGGAACAGAAGGCCAAAGCTCCTATTTAACCATGTATTTGCCACTATGAGATAACACAAATAAAGGCTTCTTTCCCCTCCTCTGTAACTCAGACTGGGAAATGTCCAAATCCTTCAGTCCAATTTAAGCACATTAGGGCAACTCCTCAGGAGGGTCCCTTTACAAACACTCACTAGTCTCTGCACCTTCTGCCAAACCCCACAGGATCATTTCTGATTCCTTCTGAGCACTTGTCCTTTCACTTTGGACATGGCAAACAAGCCCAAGCCTCACCTGGATACACCTACCTTTGAGGTAGAAAGCCATAATGTCTCCCCAGGTTCCTTTTTCCCAAATTAACAACCACAGCTCCCTCAGCCACTCATCAGACATGTTTTTAGATCCTTCATGACCTTCACTGCCCTTGTTGGGACAGGCTTCAGCACCTCAGTGTCCTTTTTGAAGGCAGGGGTCCAAAACAGAGCACAGCACTCGAGGTGTAGCCTCACCATGATTGCAATATTGGCTCTAAAAAAGAGATTTCTGATTTCTGCAGTGTTCCCCCCTCCAAGGGCAAGCACTTGAGAAACAGATGAGAAAAGGAGCACATATCCTCTCTACCATAAAACATGAGATTTAAACAGACACTAGACCACTTCACCTTGTTGAACACACAGCAGAGATCAGCAGGGTTTTCTGCTTTATCATAGGGGGTCTAATGTGCTCAGGCCTGAATAAAAGAGGAAGGTGCATCAAGTGGGGCAGACTTAATTGCTAATTCCTTGAATTATGTTGGGCTCCTACTAAGACAGGACACTATGCAGTCATTCTCCTTCAGATGCATTGATAAGAAAAATATGAGCGTGTGAGAAAAGGAAGGGGGAAAGGCAAGAGGCTGTAAAACTGTATCTGGCTGAGTAACAGGTGAGCAAAATATCAGAGCAAAATTAAAAACTATGACATGGTAAAGGTCCCAAAACTGCACACCATGATACAATTATATTCTATATCTTCTATAATTTCAAGATATTAAGATTATTGATTGGACTTGAGTGAGAGTGTAGACTGGTACCTACCTATTTAAAATATGCTAAAATTCTTAACAGCTTCACTGAAGGCACAATGGTTAGGAATAATTTAAACATTTTAATATCTCACAGTAGCATATAAGTCTTTAAAGTTAAAATATACTAGAAGGCTGAATGCTTAGCAGATGGCTTGAAAAATAACCAAGCCTTAGATTTTTCACATGATCAGATAAAATATATTAGTTTTTCCAGGTTCACTCAGGGAAAATAAAACCATTCCAGAAGATTCAAATATTATGTTTTGAATGTGCTTAGATTATCCTACTTGACCTTGCAATGCAAGAGGGTAGAAGAGCTCAAACACTTCATCCCCACTCTTCAGTTCTGCCTTTGAAAAATGTCTCTCGGCAAACTCTCAGCATTTTTCTGTGCAAAGTCAAAATGGTCTGCTTAAACCACAGGTGACCACCTCAAACCAAAAGGCAGCTTTACAAACTTCTACCTCTCTTCTTCCTAATTACCAACTTCCACACCCCTGTTCCTGTAGGTTTTTAACTTTTCCATGACCTGAAGGACAGAGGAATCACAGGTTCATGGATGCTAGCTGGCTTTCCTCTCTCTCCAGAGGTGATGTAAGGGGAGGCAGAGTTGGATGTGTTGGTCAGTAAATTACAGCTCAAGATCAGATGCCAGCAGAGGCACTGTGTAACAGGAATGTGCAATGCAAGAGCCTCAGTAAAAGGCACCTTACTGAAAATAAAATGTGTAAATTAATTCCCGTGTGGGAAGCTGGCTCAGAGTAGCAAGGATACTGCAAATTCACACTGCTGTTCACTGCACATTCATTTTTTTAGGTGGAGGACTCTAATTGAGTGCAATCTTAGAACACACATACTGTAATGATTATGGCACCCTCCTAGAAGGGGAGAGATCCAATTTCAGCTGGGAGCTGTAACAGGGGTCTCCTCCTTCCATGCAACTGTTCCAAAATGCCAAAACCCAAACTTGGTGTGCAATTCGGTCATGCTCTGTGCGTGCCTGCCAGATGAACTCCTGAAGGTGAGCTGTGTGAAGTACCAAAACTGCACACTGAGACTTAGGCAGGAATTAGAGGCAGCTGCATTCAACTTAGGTGGCTGAGAGCATGTCTAGGAACAGAAATAGAGGTACTACTGGGACTTTCCTAGAAAGCTTTGGCACCTAAAAGCATTACACAGTTCTGAGGGCAGGTAAAATTGAATTTTTGCAGACAAAAGCACATGAAAGTGTTGAGCCCACCGCCCTACGTAATTTGCTTTAAAGATGGCCCATCTATTAAGGCATATATAAAACATGTGAAACCTCATTTCATACCTGATGCCTTTCTCATTAGTGTTAAGTTACAAAATCCTGCTCATGTCAGCCCTGCAAATGCAGATTTTGGACAGAACAGATGACAGCGTCTAATTAATGTTAGATTTTACCTAACGGTTTATGGACACATTAGTAAGAAGAATTCATCCTTCTTTATATTTTAACTTGTTAAAGAGAGAACAATCATATAAAAATAAATATGCCTGTCATCCTTTAGAGACCACTTTTAAAGATGGCTCTGGTTAACTCAGTTCTTGTCATATTTTTATTTTTCACGATATTTACACAGCTTAGACATTTAGAATATTTTTTTCACTTTAATCTCTGAGAAATACTTTGCAATATTTTAAATGCACAAAAGCATTTGAATTCTCTTTAATTTCACTTAAGATTTTGTCAAAACCCATTCTTCTTAACTGCAATATATCTATATAGTCCATCATTTTATTCTTTTGAGAAATGACTTCAGTAAGGTCTCAGCAGCCATAAAATAGGTTATTTTATAATTTCAGGGTATCGGTGGGATTAATCACTCTTAACCAGATATTTCATAGCCATGGTGTGAGAATGTCTAAGGTTTATTTGGAGTATTGTGTTTTTTTTCAGGATAAAGCACAGTAAAACATGTCAGCCATAGAAAAGCATTACTCACTTCCTTCTTATCACTCTTAATTGAGATCAAATGGTTTTAGGTCAATCAATTTGGTCAGGAAAATTTATGAAAAATACAGGTCAATTTATACTTGGTAGAGGTAACTAAAGTTTTTTACGGACAGTCATTATAATAAAAGCCTTTCATTCCTCATCCCTCACTGCATCACTGTGAGAAATTCCACAGAGTAGATGAATGTCTGGATTGTAATATTGATTTCCCTGGGTTTTCTGGCATATGCTCATGGTAGCACATAGCTCAGTACCACTCACTTGTTAATCATCAAACAAACACAAAGCCTGTTTCTGTCTCTAAATTTGTGAGATGTGACCAGATGGCAATCTCACCCTGACAGGTGTGTCCTGAAAACTCATTTCAATATTTGTAAATAGTGGCACCATTCCTGCTTTAGGTGATTAATAACTGCTGATCCTGTCACTCTCTTTAAC